AATGTTGTATGCAAAGAAAGAAGTTTAAATGTTAAATCTACCTAGCTATATGTATGAATTAAAATGTATTTAAAGGATTTTGGCCTTTCTAAAGAGTTCAAATGTGCTTTTTGTAGGCACTCTCTGGTTATTGTGGCTTTATGGCGGCCAATCTCTATGCGCGTTCCATATTTGGAGAAGATGCACTTGCAAATGTCAGCATTGAAAAGCCAATTCATCTTGGACCAGAGGCACCTGTCACTGGTCACATACGAATCCGTGCAAAGAGTCAGGTAATGTGGCTTCTATTTAGAGCACTCTAAAAAAAACTTGCAAATTTTTGGACGTTAGCTAGTTTCTAGTATTAGGTAAATGGGAAAATTTTTAGGGAAGATGAATACAGAAACTTCAGCCTTAGTTTTAAAAAACTATCTTATACACATTTTGTGAGGAAAGAATGGCTTTTTGGTTAGGTGTAATCATACCCTAAAACCACATTGTACATCTTCTCTCCCAGTGCATTATCATAAAATAGGCCTTTGGGCCAAGTTTTTCTTATTTTTTCCATAGCGCTGCAAATAAGATAGTGTACTTGATTTGCTTTTAAAGAGCAAATGCTCCCCAAGGTTCCATGATCTTTTCCTACTGAATTATACATTTCAATTTCATATAACAAGGAAATTTTATGCATGCAATTGCTGTTCACTGGTTCTTTTTAAAAACAACAACAAAACCCAAAGTCTTTCAGTAGAATTATTTTCTAAAGGTACATCTATGAGTCTGCTTTGGATTTTAGAACTTCTACCTCCTGACTAAAAAAAGTACAAAATTTGGAAGTGTTTAATAATAACAGTGTACCAATAAAAGTATTTTAAACAGTGTACAATAAAGGGCTGCCTGAGAATTTTCACATTCATCACATAAAACCATTTAGTTTATGTGATGTCATTGTAAAGATTTCAGAGTGGTTTAAATTAATGTTTCTGATATGTTTACTCTGGCATTTTTACATAAGACTGCATTCAGTTATATATGCCAGCTTAGTTTCATCTTGAGATCATTCTGTTGTTGATTAGGTGGATTTATTTGTGCAGTTTCTTTTGAGATTCCTTCAGTTTCTATGCAATATTAATACGGTTCTGTGATGAAATTTTTTCTATAGCTTTAGTGCATTGAATGCTAGTATTAGCACTGAGACTTTAAACAGCTGAATTTCAGTAACTGGACCGACAGTTGTAATTTCTTCAGTGGCAGCATACTTTCAGCTGGTGGGAGGTCAAAAGGCTTACTTTTTTTAATTTTTCTGCCTTTTGTATTGATAACAGATTTAGCAGTTGCTAGCTCAAATTTAAGTTTCATTATTTCAATAATAGGTGTAGATCTAGCCTTTACCTACTGTTAAGAAGGTGTCCGCTATAATGTATGTAAATTAATGAACAGTTAGAAATACTTTGATTTCCATGCCACTAACTTCATCGATTTCTGTATACGGAACTTGCATTTTGAAGTTATTTTGAAGTATCTGTATCACGAATGTCGTCTTTCTTTTCCTTATTACAGGGAATGGCCCTGAGTCTTGGAGATAAGATCAATCTGTCTCAGAAGAAAACAAGTTTATAAATTTTACCTAATGTCTTTTCAGGTCTTTTACAATTTAACCTTAGGTATGTGGCTTTTGGGATCCAGAACATCTTATATTCCTCAGTGTTCTGTAATTGTAGAAGCCAAGCTTTTGAGTTGAAAGCATTCCAGCAGAGAATTTATAGGTTCTCCATGATTGATACTGAGAAAAATTTTAAATCTCCAGGTTTTTTTCTTTGTCCTGGAAGTCATGTTTTCTTTGTCTCTAATATATACTGATGCTCACAGTACAATAAACAAATTATGCCAGTACTGTTTTGTCTGTAAATTATAAACTCTGTATTATTTGATCGGTATTGAATATCTGGCAGGGGTATTTTGATATTCTAAGAAAGTGGGAGTGTGTAATAGCTTAAGCGTTTACAATAATGACTAGGCCTGAATTGTGCGAATGTGTGATCATGACTCTTAAAATACTCTGGTATACCTAGGAGAATATATATATTTGACAACTAAATCAAAGGCTGTATGTTCTAAATGGTTGGTTTAGTAATGTGATCACTTGGCACAGACAAGCTTGTAATATTAGAAAAGAGAATGTCAAAATTCAGCTCTTTCCAGCAAGTAGTAGAACCTTAAACTTTGTTTCTGAAATGCTTTCTTAATAGCGTTATCATGACTAACGTAACACTGCTGGTGATGTTCTTATTTTTTAGTTAATACAGAAAAGACAGCCAAGTGCAATCTTAAAGCTGTAGCAGTGTAAGCAGTATTTTCAATGAATGCAGCCATTACCCGCGTGTGTAAGCTCAGGAAGGAAGGATTCAGACTGATTATGATCTTGCAGTAAATCGAACCAAGTTGAGGAATTGTGGAAAAGGAAGAATTGTGAGTGAAGGTCAGGTCAGCATGTGGAAGTGAGTTAACACCATTTGATACTAAATGTTATGCAAATTAGCAGTAGATTAAAACATATAACCATTAGATTGAAAATACTTTTAGCTGAATCTGTTAAGAATTAATAATTCTGAGTTTAAATTGTTACAAGCAATTAATTATACAGAAGAGTCGCCAGAGCCAACAGTACTCTTCCAATTGGCAGAAAGTTCTGCTGCTGAAGTTGAACAGCTGTGTCCTGCTCCAGTAGGACAGAAGAGAACTGAGTTAGCGTCCTGAGTAGCTGATTCCCAAAACGTTTAAGGCCTCAGTGATGAAAATAGCTGTTTTCCACTCTGAATAAGCACAGGAAGGAGCACACATGTAAATTCTGAAATGAAAGAGTCTAGGCTGCTGTATTTTGTCTGGATAAAGGATAGCCTTATAAGTACAATGCAAAAACTGAGCTAGTAAGTGACATTCGTATAAATATTTCATTAGCTGTTCCTCCCAATACTACTTTTTGCCAGCTACCTTTGGTATGTTCTTATAAGCATTAGGTTCACTTTTCATTCCAATCCTGTTCTTAAGCTTAAGTGCTAGAAGAAAATAGTTTGCCCATAGTAAAAAATGGGCAGATCTGTCAACTGTGCACTGATGCAGCTGTACAATTCTGAATTTTTAGTACATAGAAGTCATAAAATCAATAGAAGTCTGCTATCAGTAGTTACTTTTTAAACCATTAGCCATCAAAGCCATGCTGTAGCTAACAGTACCGAAGTCTGCGTTACCATACTCCAGTGTGCACACCTCTGTTACAGACAAGCCTGTACACCTGCTAAGGCTATGTCTTTTGTTAAATATTCTAGATTCGAAATATGTGACTTCCAAAGCTACGATATGTTTATTTTGCTATTTTCTCATAGGCACACACCTCACGCTTATTACATACAGTAAGAAAAAGGAACGGGTCTTAGATGAGCAAGGCAGGTTGCCATCAGTTTGTCTCAGCAGAGAAAAAAACTTGAAAGTAGCTTTTGAAGGCTCTGATTACCTTGTGGATTTCTGTGAGCATCAGTACAGGTTGCAGTACTGTATGTTTCAGGCATAAATAGTAGATATTGTGGACACTTAAGTATTACGAAGATGCGATTTTTAAAACCTTTACCTGCTATAGTGGGGGGTATCCAGCTCTTGTACTCCAGTAGACATTAGAGACAGTAAATCAATAAGATAGTGCAACGTGGTTTTGCTGAGTGACCTGTTTGTTTTCCATGTTTTGAAATCCCTTTTTGGTTGTGCCATTATTTTGCTTTTTAATGAAAGCTCCAACGCATGCATCACATGATACCAGCAGGAGCTGAAGCTCTGGATAGGCAGGTCTGCCTTGATAAAGAAGCTATGTCTCTACATGATCTCACAGCAGTTGTATTGCCTTCTGTGAAGTTATGCCAGATGCACAAGGATATAGCAGAGATAATCAGAATGTGATCTTAATTGCTTAGTACTTCATACATTTGGGGGGGATGATGGGAGAAAGGCATAGGAGTATGTTATATGTGCTCTCCTGTGAAATTCCATGGATTATTGGTATGCTGCTTGGGAGTGCATGGGGGGGATTTTATTCTCCAATCACTTTAAGCCAAACCAAGAGAGAAGAAAATCTGAGGACTCCAGTAAATGGTTTCATCTCTGCAAAGACATTGTGATTAGCAGGACACTAACAGAGATTGAGTCATAGCTGCATGTATACTGACTGGTATGAATGAGATGGATTTGCTGACCACAGCCAAGGAAAGACTGTTTTTGGAGAAGGAGAATGACTTCCAGTGTCTGTTATCCATGCCCTGTTTCAAGTCACAATCTGCTATCCTCGTTGGAGAATAGAAAAACATCCTGGCATGTGCAGATATCCATTATTTCACGTGGCTCTTAGTCAGCTGGGAGGGGCACATAATTTAACTTTGTTTAGGATATCTTTTGCTATCAAAACTTTATGCAAGGACATGAAAACACCTGTTCAGCAGAAGCTGCCATGACTTAGGATTCATTTTCCACCTGTCATGCTTTTCAATAGCTCTCCTGCAGAACTGGTCTTGTACAGAAGTTTTCATTGGTGGTGTGCATTTTTTCAGTAGCCTGAACACTAAAAAAAGTTAGATGCATGTTTCGTGTCTATACTTCAGAGATGAAATTCTATCCTTTTATATATATCCTTTTGTGTTTTGGCTAAGCTTTTGCTCAGTAGCTCAGATAAAAGACTGATTTTGGTTCAGAGCACCTCTTTCTGAAATAGCTTTTGTGCCCTAAAGAGAGACTGATGAGAGACATTTTCTGTGTCTGCCTGTGTACACAGACAGGATTCTCAAGTTGTGTCATTTGAGAGTGGTGGTCCACTGGTCTTTAGCCACTCCTGGACAGGGCCGTGTGCTCAGTTCCCTTGTCACTGCTTAACAAAACCTGTACTTGTGATGACTACCACAAATGCTTACAGGGAAAGGAAATAGGAGGCAAGTAGATGTATGATTATTGTGGTTTCCATGAGGATTAGCAATTGTGAGCAAGTATGAGACCTGAGAACCACAGATGCACCATTGATCACTTTAAAGAATCGCCCTTCTAAGGAGAATGGGAACTCTTAAGTAACTGCTATTGAAGTGTTTGATCAACATCAGTGGGGTGCAAAACATTTCCTAGATACTAGAGAAGCGTTCTGCATATACAAAGGAATATCTTGCACAGACTATCCTACTTTAGGATCCACTTACAGCTTTTTCATTGCAGCAAAATTCAGTAAAGCTAGTGTATGGCTGTGGCTATGCTGTATTGTTCAAAACTTTGTACAAGCAGGTTACTAACCTATTTTCTGAGCAGTAATAAGTATGTATTGCATACATTACACTTGGGTAAGGTAGTGTTATTCCACAACTCTGATTTCAGAAGCTTGGGTAAGAATGGGAATAAATTTCCAGTAGGTGTAAATGGAACAAGAAAACTTGCTGCTTTTCCATTAAAAGTTTTTGAAAGTCATTGCATGATGCAGTGCTGGCATAGCAGGAAGCTGGTTTCTGCTATGTCCCTGCTCCTAACGTAGAGCTGCTGCAAGTCAGGGCTAGATTTCTTCATTCAGGACCCAATGAAGATTTATATTTCTGTGCTATTTAGATGATACATGAGAAGCAGGGATGTTTATGTATGACAGGCATGATATAGGCAACTCGCAGTTACCTAGGAGAGGAAGGGGTCATCCCAAGAAAACATGAAGGTAGGTAATATAAAACAAAAATAAATCAGGCCGTAGGGGACGTAGTTTGTATATTGAGCTTTAAAAAGATTTGTAAGTGGTTTCTGTAGAGACAGCTTTATACGACTAAAAAATGTGAAGCCTCGTGAGGGGCAAATGATGCATTTGCTCTGTATCATGCACTTTTTGGCACAGAGCTGCAGCTGGAGTGTTGAGGAAAGACACAGCCAGTTAATCCACATCTTGGGTGATCGACATAGTAATACCTGTCAGTTAGCGGCACCCTGTCACAAATTAAGGTATTTTATAAAGTTTATAAAGTTTTCATGTGTTGCTACACCAGGGGGTGCTGTCTCACAACTGATAAGAAATTTTGATAAGAGTTTTTCTAAAAAGTGTTGAGAGGAAGAAAGAACAGCATGTGCTGCAGGTTTCGTCATAAAAGCAATACAGGGTAACTTTGGCCCACTCTTGGGGTTACTTTCAGTCATTTTTTGTATATTTTCAGGTTGCCTAGCTATGTATAACCAGTGCACAGTGATGCTGACAGCTCAGATTACTAATATAGTACACCTGTTTGAACACTGCCTTTTCTCTAGAGACTTTACTTTTCTAATGCATAATGAGATAGATTTGGCTGTATGATACAGCTTTCCTGTTTGAAAGACACGATGATGAGTTCATTAAAAGAGGGATATAGGTGAAATACAGGAAATTCTAACTGTGACTTTGCCTGTACATTTGTAATCCTAATCTAGGCAATTTTTTGTTTGAGCAAAGCTGTAAATATCCATCTTATTTCACTAGATATTTCTCCTGTTTTTTTGTGTATTCTGTAGCTTGTAATTGTAACCTTTTCCAAACTCTGTGTATCATTTTTTGATTGCATCAGTGCAGTATATTTCATCAGAATGATCCAGAATTGCCAAGAATAGAATGGAGTTGCTAGCAAAAAGGTGATTTCTTTTGTTTTGAAGGATCGGCATAATTCTTATAGCTATAAATTATAGACATATATATAATTATATGAATTTGGATGTTGTCAAAACCAGTTACTTTACATAGGTATAAAATCTGCAGTTTCGGTGGCTTGCAAATCCCTATTTTGCTCTTTCTTTCACTGGAATTTCATTTAGGGGAAGCAGAACAAACTAAGCCTGTTGTTATCGTGGTCCCAACGCAAGAGCAGA